CCGATCTTGGGACGGAGAAGCACAAAACTTTGTACGGATCTGGGTTCTGTATTAATAATAATAAGCAGGAGAGATCCGAGGGCACTGCTTTCGATGACCACTGGAGAAGCTCCAAGCTTTCCAAGAGTAATAGTGATGCTGATTTCTCAGCCTCTAAAGCACTAAGGAACTCTAATTTGCTCATGAGATCTAACTCAACTCTCGCCTTCTTCGACAATATTGGTCACCCACAGCACCAAATGCTGAGCTTCTCTTCTCCCAAGCCAGAGCCTTTGCCTTACTCCCCCAACACCTTATCTGCTTATAACAGTAGAAATATGGCAGGTATATATATATATATATATATATATATATATATATATGTTGAAGAAAAAAATAGTTATTTAGTACTATTGTGTTTTGGTTTTTTTTTTTTGAGTAATAAATGGGGGGGTTTTTGTGGTTTCTTTGCTTGTATGAGTAAAAGGGAAATATTTGCTCAAGTTGTCGGAAAGTCTTGAGCAGCTGTGCTGTAGCAGTTACCAAAAGGAAGGGTTGTTGTTGTGTTAGATTGAAAAGTAATAATGGTGGTCTTTTCATAAAAATGATCTATCTACGAAATGAGCGGTTGCTGTAGAGTCTTGTTGTGGAAAAAAAAAAAAAAAACCTTTTCCGAAATTAGTACTTTTTTCGTCCTCGCATGATGAAGCACAGAAGCATAAAACCTTGTCCTAGTATTTTGATGTAATGAAAATATTTATACCTGCTGGCTGCTCTTATGCATAAATGCTTAAAATTAAAAATGACTGTTGTGCTGTTGTTTCAGGGTTCAACTCCGGGAGCTTGGTTAACGGTGGAAACGTTATGCATGGGGAGAAATGTGTATTCACTCCATCGCAGTGGATGGAGCTAGAACAACAGGCTTTGATCTACAAATACATCACCGCCAATGTCCCCAATCCATCTAATCTCCCTCTTCCCATCAGAAAGACCTTTGACTCCGTTGGCTTCTCTTCCTTCCCTTCCGGTCTTCTCAGACCCAACAACACATGTAAGTTTTCATCACTAACTCTCAATCTCAGTCTTTGATTGACTTAGCAAAAAAGACCCAACTTTCATGTGTTGTGACTTGTGAGCAGTGGGATGGGGTGCTTTCCACCTGGGATTCTCTAACAACAACGATCCGGAGCCAGGAAGGTGTCGCCGGACGGACGGTAAGAAATGGCGGTGCTCGAGAGACGCCGTCGCCGACCAGAAGTACTGCGAGCGGCACATGAACAGAGGCCGCCATCGTTCAAGAAAGCCTGTGGAAGGCCAAACCGGCCATTCTCTCGCCGGAGCAAACGCTGTCGCCATCAACTCCACCTCTTCGGTGGCATTGCCTGTCGGCGGTACTGCATCCAACAGCCTCGCTGCCACTTCTACTAACATGAATCATCAACACCAGTTGCAGAGCTTGAACAGGTGGCCAAAATCAGAACTGACATAAGAAATTTGCTTTACATTTCCCCAGAAAAAAGATCGCTAAACGTTTCTCTTCTCTTGACAGAATGCAAAGCACTCATGGAGGTCTCTCCTTGTCGTCTAGATCAGATCAGTTCGGCGTCGTTAGTAATTCTGAATCACAGCAGCACTCGCTACGCCAGTTCATCGATGTCGACTGGCCAAACAAAACCGGAAAATCCAACACCAACAACGGCAACCACTCGACCGTCTCAAACTGGCCAGACTCGGAGCAAACCACACAGCTATCGATCTCCATCTCAAGCATGTCTTCCTCGGACGCGAATCTCTCGCATAACGCGGCTACTGCTGATCACGACCACCACCGTCATCAACGGCAAGCCTTGAATTTGATTCCCATGAGTTGGGAGCCTTCCTTGGGCGGGCCACTTGGGGAAGTTCTTCACCACACTAATAATAGCAACAACAACGTCGATTCCGGCGATTGTAGGGGGCCGTCGTCGTCGTCGTTGTCGGTGCTGAATCTGATGACAGAAGGTTGGGACAGTAGCCCTCCGATGGGGTCGTCTCCGACGGGGGTTTTGCAGAAGACCGCGTTTGGGTCGCTTTCCAATAGCAGTGCGGGGAGTAGCCCACGAGCCGATAGCAGTAAAGACCTTGTTGCCTCTGCTCACTTGAATACTTCTCTGTAGGTGAGACATGGGAAGAAGAAATTCACTCTTTTTTTTTTTTAAAAAAAGAAATTTGTATTGTTAAATTTCGCTAAGAGTGTCATTACTTCAATCTAATTGTATTCGGTTAATAATCTGTTTGCTGTTGAAGGGTTGCTCTTCTCTTTGTGACGTTTGCTTCATCTTTTTCAAAAGTAATTTTGAGGTATTGTCCCCTCACGAGCACTAAGTACAGCCCAAAATGCTCGAATCACTTCGGGCAGTTCCACGGTCTTTCTTTTTTTTTTTTTTTTTTTTTTTTTTTTTAAAAAAAAGGTTTTTTTTTTTTTTTTTTTTTTTTTTTTTTTTTTTTCAAAAACTTGAAAAAAGTAATTCGTATAATTTTATTTAAGTTCAATGTTCTTTTAAGATTCGACTCGAGTTTAAAATTAAAATTTAAGTTTATAGATGTGTTCGGTTGTCTAAAAAATTTAAAAAAATATAATTTGAGTTCTAATTTTATTTAAATTCATGTTTTTTTAAGTTTAAACTCGGGTTTGAGACTAAAATTTGAGTTTAAGTGTCTCCTTCAACTCAAGTTTAAATTAATTAACAGTATTTTTTTTATTCTTAAAAATGTTATAATTTTTTTATTTTAATTCTGATTGAGATGATTTTTTTTCTATGCGTTGACAATGAAAAGACGAATAAAACATCACCCATATACCTTATTAAAATTTTTCATCAACATTAGATTTTTATTAAAATACTATCTAAATACAAATTTAAGTTTTGATTTATTCAAATATAAATTTAAAAAGATTCTTATCTCAAATTATAACTTAAATGTACACAATTAAACACAAACTCAAGTTATAACTTTAATTCAAGTTATAACTCAAACTCAACTTAAAATTTACACTCAAGTCATCTAACTCAAAAACGGTAAAAAGAACAGTCCCTTCATTTGGGCGGGATTTTGTTTTTAATATAAATATAAAAATGAGATTGTTTTAAAAATTATTTTGAGATCAATTTTAAAATTATGTTTGATTGATTTTTTAAGAGATTATTTTGAGTATAATAAAAAAATAAAATTATGTTTTGTTATAATTATTAATTAATATATTATAATATTTTTAAGATATTTTTTGAATATAATAAAAAAGTGAAATCATATTTATAATTATTAATTAATATATTATAATATTATTGATAAATATTAAAAAATAAAAATAGAAAAGAGAAAATAATTTTTAATAATTTTTTAATTCTTTTATAAAAATTATTCTCATTATTTTTTATTTTTATTTTTAAAATATTTACTAAATAAACCCACTTTATAAATTATTTTTATTTTCTTATTTTAAAAAACGTGAAAATATTTTTAAAAATATGTAAAAATCAATTCTAAATGCACTTTGTTATCTTTTTTTTTTCTTTTCTTTTGTGTTATGCAACATATTTTAAAGGGAAAAAATTACCGTGTCAAAAAGAGCATCTCTATACGTGTAGATGGCTTAAAATTTGGCTACTTAAATGAGTAGGTGAAAATCCATCATTTTATAAGTATAAAGTTATATTTTTATTGAGAATTTCCCTAACTTACTCATCCAACTATTTATGTACTTGACTGTGGCTGACGACCAATATCATTGATCACATACATGCCAAGTGACTATTTCCTTAACTAACAACTCAATTGCTTTGCCAGCGATTAATTGAATCAATAGTGTGGCTATAAAGAAGGGCCACACTATAATAAAGGAATTCTTGAATGATCATGGACCCATTTCGAAACCATATCTCTATAGGATTTCTAATTATAGACATTTATCTGTCTACAATTTTAACAACACACATCTAAATGCGTAACTTTATGATCTGTAGCCAATTTGACAAAATTTGCTCAAAATTAAAGAGACACGAAAGGCTGAGGCTTAGACTTGCGAGTATGAGACATGATGAGGCGAAAGCACAGGTGGAGACTGTGTCACGTGGCGGTCTAACTCTGTTCATGCAAGCCCACCAGTTGTTTTGGCCTTTCTTGTTTAAAGATGAGCGAGAGAGAAACTATTAAACAGCTAGAGCTAGCGGACTTTGCAAGGCGGAACCCACTTTGGTCTTTAAACCATTAAGGTTTTTTTTTTTCTTTTCCTACAAAAAAAAAAAAAATTTAGGCATCGTTCATTTTACCTCACCGATTTGAATTTTCAATTTTAGATTTTTACGGTAAAAATTTTTTAAAAAATGTCACATCTAATTTTTTATGCTACAGTGAAAAGCTCTAAAAAAATATCACATCTAAACTCGAATTAAAAACTCAAATCCGCAAAATAAACGAGATCTTAATAAACCCACTTTTTAAATACATTATTTTAAAAAATTTATGCTTTAATTAATACTATTTTAATTAATATAATTTTTTAATTAAAATTATACATTTTAAGACTGTTTGTCTCATTTTTCTTATTAAAAGCAAGAGGAAAAAAAGGGTCCAAGTCTTATTTTTGTCCAGAAAAAGTGTCCTCATAGGGAGTTTTAGGGTATAAAACTGGGTGTGCATAGTTAATGAGGTTTGATAGAATAAAGATAACGTAGCCAAAATCTTATTTTCTTTTGAATTTTGGATGGGAATAGAAACTCAAAATTAAGGCTGCGCAAAAAAAACGATTAAGGTGTGAGGGATTCTATGGTCATGTTTTAGAAGCGTAGCTGATTGTTCATCCCCAAAACTTTATCCTCTACAAAAAGGGAAAGAACATGTAAATAGAGAAAAAAAAAAGAGCATGTAACATTGTTCTCAGGGGAAAAAAAATAACAAGAAAGGGATTTTTAGGAAAAGAAAAGACAAATTAAAAAAGTTTTTTTTTTTTTTTTTAAATTGTTTTGAAGACTTTCATGACCTAAGTCGTGTGAATGTGATGCGCAACGGGGATAAAGATTTAAAAAAATAAAAATATTCTAAAAAAATAAAAATAAAGCGCAAAAGAAAGTATAAATTATGAAAAGTCTCTCATCCATGAGGTTTTGCTCATAATATATATAACCATATATATGTCCGAGATACAACGAGGTCATAACATCTATTTTAGTACAAGCTTTGTCCGGTCAGTTTCCTTCC